TGAAGAGAGGGGCGGAGCTGTCAACTGATCACCACCTGGTGGTGAGCTGGATCCGATGGCGGGGGAGGAAGCTGGACAGACTCAGCAGACCCAAACGTATTGTGAGGGTCTGTTGGGAACGTTTAGCAGAATCCCCTGTCAGAGAGATCTTCAACTCCCACCTCCGGCAGAGCTTTGACCAGATCCCGGGGGAGGCTGGAGATATTGAGTCCAAGTGGACCATATTCTCCACCTTCATTGTCGATGAACTGTTTACAGTGGAGGTGGGCAGCTGTTGACCTCAACTGGGGACATTGTCGGACGGTGGAAGGAATACTTTGAGGATCTCCTCAATCCCGGCGCCATGTCTTCTGATGAGGAAGCAGAGGCTGAGGGCTCAGAGGTGGACTCGTCCATCACCCAAGCTGAAGGTGAACATCAACTAACTTCTCCCTGGCTAACGTGACATAAGTCAGTACGTAAGCTACATTATAGGGATGGGCAATGACTTTCAGTTAAATAATCATTAAATGAAAAAAAAAAATCTAATATTTCCTGTGACTGGTTTTGTCATTAAGAACTAAGAGCCACCGTTTTCCCTTGTTTTTACCAGTGCCAGGGAATAACATGATAATGAGGTCAGTGTATCATTTGACTACAGCACCAAACAGCAGAAACATGCAGAGACTATAGCCATCAAAACATTCTGTGTGGAACTTCTTCAAGGTCAAGTCATATAATGTGCACATGTCAATGCTAGAGCAATGTGGTGCTATACTGTGTCTGTGTGGGCCCAACACTACTATGTTAGCAATTAAAATAAGCTGCATTCTGCTGTGTCTGTGTTGCAATTCACAAGAACTGCTCCCCAACAAAACAGCTGTACTTAAAGTATTCTTTGTGGAGGCTAACTTTATCAATGGCTGTAGCCACCACACCTAATTGATGGTACAGAGAAATATCCAGTCAGCTGTTTGATTGCTGCCAGCTTATGTTTCAGTTTGAAGTCACCTCTCCGTTTTTTTGAGTGCATATAACTCACCAATGTTTTTACAATGATTCTAATACGTTGCCTTTTTTACATTTACTCAGCTCAGTTGCTCAGCAAAGACGTAGACATTGTGCCTAAGCTTTTATATGGTAGGGAAAACCCTGTGTGTGGATGTAAAAATAATGATCTGGATGCATTGGTGCAGTGACTGAACTCTGATGTCCAGGTTTGCAAACTACAGACACTCATGAAGTGCTGACTCCAACTCTCTCTTCTCATTAGCTGAAAACAGCATACAAAGTACTCAACTGTGCATATGGGATAATAACAGAACGATACATTTATCATAGTGCTGTTAGAAGGTGGGAAAAGGAGCTACCTAATTCTGCTTTGTGGCGCTGTGGTCTTTACAGTATGTTAATGTGACAGCATTCATGTTTCTAGGGTTGTCAACCAAAACTGATTGGGGAGGCTCTGCACTTGTCATCTGTATCAAAACTAGCAATATACCACGTTCTGTCATTATCTTAAAATTCAACTGGACCAAGATGAGAGATGAGGCAGACAGCACTGTGACTGAGTGAGAGGACACTGGGCTGTGGGCTAAGCAATGGTGTGTGTAAGCTCCATGTTGGAGAGAAGAGAGCACGAGGAAGTGGAGCTAGTATAGGTGTATCAATACCATGGAAAGTGAGTAGTGAAACCTTACCAAAATTTCTGTATTTATTAAAAAAAACATTTTTTGACAGCACTAATGAAGCACATTTAACTAATGTAGCCACACATTAGTACTGTATGTCCAATTTAAAGTCTGACCATGAGCATGTTAGTGTACCTGAAAGCCCTCAGGCAGTGGCAGTGTGTGGCAGATGACTGGATCTCCGTCCTTTGGCATGGCAGTGGTGTCTACAAAGGTGCCTTGCTGCAGGGCCTCCACTGTGGTGGCAGAAACAGGTACCTGGACCAGCTGGAGCTCCCCAAGGCCCAATGCTGCCTGCTCCTCCATGTTTACCACCTGAAGACAGAAAAAAATCCAACACTAGCACACATATTCAGACACTCTACAGGGTATCTATTGATGAGAAACATGTGAGAATTCCCCTACAGACCGTGTGAATCCGGCGTTCTGAATGTGAAGTGATGTCAACAGAGCACCTACCTGTAGTGTGATGATTTGAGTCTGGTCCACTGTTGTTACAGTTGCTTGGTGAGCAGCACCAGCTACTGCTCCAACAACACCAACTGTTGCCGATGATCCTGCCACTGCAGCATCAATCACCTGCAAATCAACTTTATTTTAAAAGGATGCTACATGTCATTTTGGGCAAAGCAACACATTCTGACAGGCATGTGTGTGGTCTTCAGTTCCAGCTGATTTCATTTCCAAAGCTAGAGCAACAACAAAAGAAACATTCCTGCCCATAAAACACACACTCTCAACAGTGAGCTTACCTCAGTTTTCATCTGCAACAGGGTGGGATCCAGTGAGTCCATAACCATCATTTCAACCCCAGCTTCGCTTTCCACACCGACTCCAACTGCAGCTTCCATCAGCTGCTGCTGGGCCTGGGCAGCAGCTACTATTCCTTCCCCATGAGCTGAAACCCAAAATTGCTGGGAATAAAATTCTCCAATATCTATAACACTCTGTGCTTTTTAACAATTCAAATGTGGGACAATATCATGTTGAATATTTACAAACCTTGTTCCAAGACAACTCCAGCCTGATCCTCTACCACACCCCCAGCCTCTGCAGCTTGCTGAAGAAGGTCAGCAACCATGGCATCCTGGCTGTGGACAGACTGGATGGACGGGAAATCTTTGGCAGGGACCTCCGCTACCCCTACACCCTCTGCTGGCCCTCCGTCCATGCTGGGTAGGAACTGAAATACAGCATTGTGGAAACAAATATTATCTAGCAGCATGTTACATCAGGCAGTGTTTCTCCATGCCAAAACGTTTGCTGCATAGCAGATAAACAAATAAATGAAAATCTATCTAACCCAGAAGCCCACAAAACAACTCAGCGATGTACATTCACAGTTGCAGTTAAGAATAATTCACCATGAGCATGTTTTTAGAATTGTTTGTCATACGGCTGATAGAGCAGAACATTCTACTCACGCACGCACACGTGCGTGCGTGCGTGTGTGTGTGTGGTGGTGGGGGAAATTTCCAGTTATGAAAATCAATGAACCAGTGGGAAAGTGTCTAGGGAGGGCAAAAATGCCTTGTTGATGCCAGAGGTATCCTTCATCTTTTTTTTAGACTTTTCATGGAGAAAAGTCTAAAAAAGAGAAAGCGTCTAGTGAGCGGCAGTTCTCTGGGCAAAAATGCCTTGTTGAAGCCCGAGGGCAGAGGAGGGCCAGAGTGGTTCCAGTTGATAGAAAGGCAACAGCAACTCAAACAACCACGTGTTACTACTGAGGTATGCAGAAGAGCATCACTGAATGCACAGCGTGTGGATCCTTGAAGCAGATGAGCTCCAGCAGCACAAGGCCACCCTGAGTGGGGTGCCACTCCTGTCAGCTAAGAACAGGAAACTGAGGCTACAATTTGCAAGGGCACGCCAAAACTGGACAATAGAAGATTGGAAAAACATTGCCTGGTCTGATGAGTCTCGATTTCTGTTTCGCCATTCAGACGGTAGTGTCAGAATTTGGTGTAAACAACATGAAAGCATGGATCCATCTTGCCTTGTATCAGTGGTTCAGGCTGGTGGAGGTGTAATGGTGTGGGGGATATTTTCTTGGCATATTTGGGCCCCTTAGCACCAACTGAGCATCGTTTAAATGCCACAGCCTACCTGAGCATTGTTGCTGACCATGTCCATCCCTTTACACCAGTGCGGTACTGGCAAGGTGTACCTAATAAAGTGGCCGGTGAATGTGTATGCCCTTATGTTTACAGACTACTTATTGTCCCTGAACTATCAATGTGCAGTCAGGCACAATATTGTTATTACTAGCATGCCACAAACTAAAGCCAGTTGTTGATAAAGGCTGGGGCAAAAACCCTGAGGGTTATAATTGGTTGTAAACTCACTACAAGGCACATTTCTGCAGCAGTGAGTTCGTTAGTAAAACAAGAATCATGTCGCACTCACCACTATGTTGTATGTATCTTCACAAAAACACTTCTTCACCACTTGTTACTAATGTTTTCAACTCATTTGCAGTATTTCTTGCCCTATTTAGTTACTGCCAGTGAGACTCGATATTTACTACAGGTGTTGAAAATCAAAGGTCTACAAGGAAGGATTGTGCCCTGGGGCACTGTAAGGCTTTTAATGTGAAACATCTATGCAGGAAGTATTGAGTTTTATTAGAGGTAACTTTATGCTATAGTTTGACATTTTGGGAATCTGTTATTCACTTTCCTGTCAATAATTACATGAGGAGATTTACACCATTATTAACTACAAAGCTACAGCCAGAAGATGATTAGCTTAGCTTAAGAAAAAGACCAAACCAGCAATCTTGGCTCTGTCTGAAGGTAACAAAATCCACTCCACACCAACTGCAAAGCTCACTAATGAAAATGTGATTAAATAAACAAGATATAACATGTCTGTCAACAAAGTGTGATGCTTTAGGCAGGTTTCTTTGAACCTCTGACAGAGTCAGGCTAGTTGTTTTCCTCTGCTTCTGGTCTTCATGCCAAGCTTTTTCATACTGAATAGACAAATGTGAGAGACATGTTGATTTCACTGAACTCTCTGCAAGACAGAGAAGGAAACATCCTTGTAGTGGCTAAAAACCTTCACACTTTATATTGTGAAATTCCACAGAACTGGGCTTTGTGGAAGTACTGAAAACACCATAAATACCTGTGCAGGTTAAAGGGAAGTAGAGGAAGCACTGTATAACTGCATATTCAATAGCTAGGTGTAGTGAGATACAGAACAAGCAGACATGTACAGTGGGGCAAATAAGTATTTGATACACTGCCGATTTTTCAAGTTTTCCCACTTACAGAGACAGTTTTGTAATTTTCATCGTAGGTACACCTCAACTGTGAGAGACAGATTCTACAAAAAAAATTCCAGTAAGTCACATTGTTAGATTTTTAAATAATTTATTTCCATTTTATTGCATGAAATAAGTATTTGATCACTTACCAACCAACAAGAATACTGGCTCTCACAGACCTGTTAGTTTGTCTTTAAGAAGCCCTCCTATCCTCCACTCACTGCCTGTATTAACTGCACCTGTTTGAACTCGTTGCCTGTATAAAAGACACCTGTCCACACACTCAATCTATCAGACTCCAACTTCTCCACTATGGGCAAGACCAAAGAGCTGTCTAAGGACACTAGGGACAAAATTGTAGACCTGCACAAGGCCAGGATGGGCTACAGGACAATAGGCAAACAGCTTGGTGAGAAGGCAACAACTGTTGGCGCAATTATTAGAAAATAGAAGAAATTCAAGATGACTATCAATCTCTCTCTTGGACTGGGGCTCCATGCAAGATCTCGCCTCGTGGAGTATCAATGATCCTGAGAAAGGTGAGGGATCAGCCTAGAACTACAC